CCAATATATATTTTATAAATGTATGATAAAATAGTATAATGACAAAGGAGAAAGAATAATGAAGCTTGGATCATTTTAAGTTTTATTTTCCATTTGGATTTTTTATTACTTAAGATGGTGTTACAGTATTATAGCACTGTAGGTCAGCTATAAGAAAAGCTATTAAGAAGATATAAAAAATGTGGTGAACTGCAAAGGTTAGGGGGAACTAGACTATTTGCTGGGAGTAAACTTGTGCTTTATCAGCTGTCTGTAGCCTTTAATAGTTGGCTGGGCGTCATGGGTTTTATTTGTTTATATTTGTGGCTCAGGAAACTTTGATGTACGTACTATCTAGCTTTTCTATCAAGTTGTTTGTGGTACATTTCAGAAGGTGGAGCTGCTTTTATCAGTAATTAATGCCATTGTCTATGATTTCTAATAATAGGTACAATGTGTCATTGTTAATATTACTCTACACCCTATCTTAATCTAACTTTCTTAAAGGTCTAAAAAAAATATGGAAAAATACTTGATATTTAAACATTTAATAGCTTAGCTATTATTCTAGTATAATATTTATCTCATATAATTGACAGTTAAAACTAAATTTCATTGACATACAAATATTTAAAGGTACTGTACAATAACATTTAAAACACAATGAACAATCAAACAACAATTGAACCTGTAAGAGTTATAGTTTTACTATACCTTGTTTAAATAAACCTGCCATGAAATCTAGGGAGGGCTATAGCCCCCCTCCCCATTTGGGGACTTCCCCTTTGGGGAGAAAAACTGAAGTTTATTAAGGAGAAAAAAATATATACCTGTATGTATTTTGTACATATTAATAGACTCAGGGACCTTGGACACCCGTCGGGATAATCCTCTCGTGCCCCTGCAACCAAGCAATTTAAATTTTGAATTTAGGTCGTTGAAAACAGTGTTTATCTTTGTAATTCAACATATCAACTGTGGGTGTAGTTGGAACATTGCTTAAAAAAACATCTAGGATGTTAAGTGTCACAATGATTGATTATATTGCATGTTTGTTATTTGAATAGACAAGTGTTTTGAATGATGCATCAAGTAGGACCTTTTGATGTTTTAGCCACTGGTTCACACTTTAGGTCTAGTCAGGTGTCATTGTTTACTGTATTTGTTTGATTGCTAATAATAAGTTGGTGATCAAGGTGTAAGCTTTTTCAAAGTCAGACTCCGGTGGAAAATAAGTTTTTGATATGTTGTAGAACCGTTTTTTCTAAGACGGAAATAAGTTGTTTGACGAAAAACTGGGGAAAGGTGAATGAGATACAGATTTTTGAATATTTAATAACTGGGGGAAAAGGGGTTAAAAAAACTGCCCCTTTTCCCCAATGCTCAATGGTCAAAGTTAAAGTCAAGTCAGTTTTATTTTTAAAAAATTCTATATGATAAATATAAGGCGTGTTCATATACGATTTAACGAATAGTTATTCATGATAAACATAGTGAGTTTGTTTTTCATGATAATGGCAAAACACATAAAATGAAGTATAAACCTGGGTATGCAAATGATGTTTACCGGTGCGTGACAAGGGTCATGCTTTCGAAGCGCGAGGCCAGCAGTACAGTACTAATTAATTTAGATGTATGTATCGTCATGTTGCCTAGAAATTCAATTCCGATTTTACTCTTGCTACTGCAACTATTTGATTCTGTTGACGATCATTCTACAAATATGCTCCTGATAATGGGTTTACTTGATTTATTAAAAAAGAAACCATTATACGTTAGAGATCGTAAGAGAACTAAGAACAAACAAGATATCTTCAAATATCTTCAGTATGAGCATGAAACTCTCGAAATGGCTGAAGTTTCGTATCTCTTGTACCTATTTCTATGTCGTAACAAAGCTATCAAACAAAGATTGTGCAGGAAAAATCAGAGCCAGGATTGGTAGGTCAACGTGGTTCCCTCATAATACTGATAGCGATTTCATTGAAGGTTTCGGAGAGTATGCAATTTGTTTTTGATGACATTAGCTGTCATCCCCTTATAGCCTCTCTCTTTCAATTTTTTCATAAATCTGAGCTTTTTGCTGGAACATTTTGTTTTCCAGTCTTTCTTTTTTTTCTGGTTCGTTCCAGATTTCTACCAATTCTCATGCTTCATTGTATCTCTATTTATGTCTCACCTTGTTTCTTTCAACAAATAGTTAATTAAAACCAAAATATTATGAATGATACACCGGATCAAAACGTTGCTTCACAACAGAAAAAAAAAAAAAAAACAAAACAAAAAAAAACAAACCGCAAACTATTAAAAAGCATACCTGTCAACTTCGAGAAATTTAAAGAGTAAGATTGGGTGACACATAATGAGTGCCAAATGCACAAACAGTGGCTGGGGGCCGCCAGGGGCTCCCGGTCAGGCTTTGACTGAGATGGCATATTAGTGAGTTTATAATTATCTCAGACACAGTAGTATTTGAAACATGGAGGTAAAATGTTACATGATGGATGTTAGTTATAGTAAAATTCATTACAAATTGATAAAGAAACAAAATTTACTCAAATGTTAGGATAAGCGTAAGTTTTGCCGGTGTTTGCGTAAGACCGTAAGATTTGATTGGAATGCGTAAGACATATCAAACATGACATTATATATGGATAATGACAACTGCCAGTACAGTAGTTGATTTTAGCATGGAGGTGTAAAAATATTTTTATAAAAATCTATTTTTATACCTCCATCATTTTAGAAACAACTTAGGTACAGTAATGTTGAAAGACCTGTCTCTTATACACATCTAGATGTGTATAAGAGACAGCATTAGCTGTCATCCCCTTATAGCCTCTCTCTTTCAATTTTTTCATAAATCTGAGCTTTTTGCTGGAACATTTTGTTTTCCAGTCTTTCTTTTTTTTCTGGTTCGTTCCAGATTTCTACCAATTCTCATGCTTCATTGTATCTCTATTTATGTCTCACCTTGTTTCTTTCAACAAATAGTTAATTAAAACCAAAATATTATGAATGATACACCACACATATTATGAATGATACACAACAACGGTGTTTGCGATTTGATTGGAATGCGTAAGACTTGACGGGTTGACAGGTTCGAAAAAGCTAAGAGGTCATGTGCAGTGACCCATTTCAACCTGAGCGCTCATTGGTAGAATTTGACCTATGAATCAATTTACCATGATTTTGAGCCCGAAACCCTGATGCTTCTTCATGGAAAGCGAAATCACGATGTTACGGTTTAACATGAAGAAGATCACGATGAACTCGCTTTGTAGCTTCATATAGAACATCATGATAAAGAAACTCAAAATAAATTTGTGAACCTAACTATAGTGTATTTAACCTTGTTTTAATGGATTTTGAGTTCAGCTACACAAATATTTCCTCATCTAGTTAGTTTCCTCCCATTAATAAAATTATGTTTATATTTAGGTTAATGGTCATTCTAGCTACAGTACATGCTGATCTGTAGTAATTTCAGTTCATTGAACCTTAATATTTTTTTTTGTAAAATAACAAAGGGCTGACATCGCAGGAATACCAGTAGGCCATGAATGATTGTTATTTTGCTGGGGAAACAGTATCAGTAGTATATCATTTTAAAATATTGCATTATGTGATTTAGATTCATTCTGTGAGGTCGAAAAACAGTAAAATTCTTGTTAATAGATTGATCAAAAGTGTAACCGTAAATGTAAATTAATGATAAATTATTGCATGAATAAATATAATAAATATATAATTATAATATCCAATTTGAGAATACATTATCAAATGTGTCCATTCTCTGTGAGTTACTGTAAAACCTCCATTTTACGAATAGTCGATTTTACGAATGGGGTTTTCCCCTGATGACGTCATCCTCGACCAATTATTACCGTAAAAAAAGTCTAATTGTGCACATTTTACAAAGTGATAATGTATATTTTTCTTAATAAAATAAAGTTTGTTGTATGTATTTATTAATAGTTTGATCTTTTCTTCTATTTCTGGTATAATAATCACTATATTAATGTAATAAACCTAACCAAAACAACGAACTACCAACGCAAGTGTAGTCGGATTGAGCGCACATGTTTATGCTGACGAACGAGAGTGTTTTGGTCAGCAACTTATTGACATCGTGAATGCTAGATATGATCGCGAAATGCATGTAAACAACACAAATTGGCGATCAAACAACTAGAAAGGAAACAATAGAAAGGGCCATAAAACATACAGATGTTTGAATAAGAGTTAAAATAATATTTTGTTAAGTGGAAGAATGCCAGCGATTAAAATAATTTGGATTTTATCGTAGGTAAATTCAGCTAGGCTCTAGTGCGGTAGACCATGCTGCTGCACTGTCTGTTCGTGCTAGGCCTGGTCGCCGTCAGCCTATCGGCGCTCAGTAGGCTTAAGTATTGGAAGCTGACACCCAATCTAGTTTATGCATTTTTCAATTTACGAACACCCCTTGGTACCAAGGGGTACGTAAAATGGACGTTTTACTGTATAAGTATATTATACCGTAAAAAGTATATAGACTCACAATTCAGTGCAATCACCTGTGATGGTCTATGAATCAGACAACTTTCAAGTAGACAAAGTAGACACTACTAGCCATCTAGGCTAGGTGTACAATTCCATTTGCTTAAACTCTTTACAAAACTTTATCATCTATTGTATTATTTAAATAAACATATAATGTTTGCTTTGTTGCTTCCATTTAGCTAAATAGTTTTCATTTATTCTGATTGAATAGAACTTAATTATTATAGGCTTTCGAAGATTAACAGATATCATATCCCTGCCGACAGGTAGTCTGTGTAGATTAGCTGTGCTGTGATTTTAATACAGTGGGAGGGTCTTGAAGGTCATTTTAACACCTTACTCTCTATACAGGCTGGATCTATTTCATGCCTAATTACCTACGAATCAATTTGATTTTCAATTAATTACATCACTGCATTCAGAAAAATATTTCTGTGGTAGATAAGTCATGGTAGCTTATATGTTTTCTTTCATAGCTCAAACCTAAACCCAATTGGGAGTACACATTGTGCCTGCATTTTAAGTTCAAGATCAAAGATAAAACAGCAGTTGTTTTGTTCACTTTTTATTTAAAGAGTTGAAAAAGGTTTGATTTGAAAATAATCAAGAGGAGCTGAAGATTGGAATATTTTAAAGTGTTGACAGAGAAGACTGGTAAGTTGTTTATAGTGATATCTTCCTTGCAATTGAGTTAATAAATAAGGTTGTAGGTTGTAGTAGTAGTGATAGCTATGCAACTAGTGAGAGAATTTATCCACCAACTTATGAGTAGTTCTTTTGTTTGTCTTAGTGACTCGGCAAGGATTTATTTCACCCAAATAAATTATTAGAAAGCAGCTGTTTTTTGTATTTTTTTTCTTGGATGCAGAAATAGGAATTTTCAAGAAAAATAAACATATTAAATAAATTATAAGTTGCAAGTTTTAGAAGGTATTTAACAGATTAATCATTGATGTCTCCTTATGTTATTCAGAGTTTGCCAGTTTAACCACTATAAAGTACACATAAAGTATAATAATAATTGGTGTTTTTATGAAACGAAAGTAAAATTCGTTTCATAAGGCATTCAAAAGTACTTGTATTCTATGGTAATACATTTAGTGGAGAAGTTAGACCATACATGACTATACACAAGAACAATATCAAAGAAAGGTAAAATCTATGTCTACTTTAAAGGCATAGTGTTGCAATTTACTGTGTAAACTTTCAGATTAATTATTGAAATATATAAAGAAATTAAAATTGTTAATGTTGATTTACACACGCTTTCGTCTGTTATCACCATGATTTCAGGCGAAACATTTATTATTATAGGTTGTTCAGACAAAAAGTGAAGTATAATTATGATTCTATATTTAGCAAAACAGTTCTACCAAAAAGATTTAGACAGAGTAGAAAATATAAATGTTATTGACAACAGATAGATTGTATCACCAATGGTAGACAACCTAACTGTGCTTTTTAATGTTTACAAATGATGTTTGCATGTTTGCTGCCCTCTATAACTATCTTATTGATATTTAAATATGATTTATAATGAAATCTTGGAAAAAACCTTGCTGCTACTGGAAACACATCATGGTGTTCTAGATTTTAAGCCACAGAAGATGGTTGTGTGATGAGGTGGTCAACTGAAATAAGGATTTAACATTACCTTTTTTTAAAAATGGGTACCTAAATACTTGAATCTGTTTAGTTGGAGAAGTAGGCCTCTCACATGGTGCCAAGGATTGTCAGAGATATACCAAACATGAAGTATATCAAACATGACATTATATATGGATAATGACAACTGCCAGTACAGTAGTTGATTTTAGCATGGAGGTGTAAAAATATTTTTATAAAAATCTATTTTTATACCTCCATCATTTTAGAAACAACTTAGGTACAGTAATGTTGAAAGACCTTGGAAATGACCTGACTAAGGATGACGTGAAATAACCTTTGGAACAAACGTGCTCTATTTTGTGTTTGATTTTTGATTTCTTAATTGAGCTGTCATAACAATTATTATTCATTTTTATTTTATATTTGTGGTTTAGAAAATGAAAACAAATTATACAAGTACATAACCATCCATCTTTTGTCTTTGATAATTTAACTGCCCCAAATTCAAATACTGTAGTCTATTCCAAGTTTATATCAATGAACTAAAGAAAGTAACTCTCATTGGTTCAAAGAACAAGTCATGTGATAAAGCTTGACCAAATATGGTATCTCTCAGACATTAGAGAAATCCACTGTGTACAAACTGGCTGTAAACCTCTTTGCTATGCCTGCCCACTCAAGCAGATTGAGTTCTGTAGCCGGAAGGATTGAATCGCAGTCATGTGACATGATCCTCAAATAGGTATGATGGAAATTAGATTACAGGTGTAACTTGGACATAATAGAATCAATTGAGCAGTACTTTATATTTCCATGTCTTACCACAATAAGTGCTTACACATACATGATGGTTGTTTTTTAGGAGTGTTCTTATCTGTTTAAAATCAGCTACTGGATAATATACTCAAGCAAGTAAGTGTACTCAATCTTGTGCTGTTGGTTCTACTTTAGTTATTTATTTATAATATTTTTTTTTTCTTTTGACTGGATAGTTTTTTCGGTTCTGCTTTTCAAAATGAAAATTTGAGTTGATCTGAAAAAAGAAAAAAGATTTTGTGAATAAAATTATTGAGAAAGCTAATAGAAAAACAACATTGATCCTATGACTAAACCAATGAATTAGGTTTTCAAAAAAAGGGTTTCTTAACATGTTGGTTTAACATGTAAGGCTCAACACAATTTCTTTGGTATGGATGGAATTATTTTAAATAAAGAAATAGGTTTTGTTATTTTTTAATAATATTTTTATTTATTTTAAGAAATTGCTGTAAGTGTAGTGTCAGTATGTCTCTATAACAACTCCCTGGTCTCATTGATAATTCCACTGTGAGAAGTGTTGTAGTAAGTTAATTTATAGACCACCAACCTCCCCCCTTTTAATGTTTACATTGGCCTAGCTCAAACACTGTCGGTGCACTCCAGTTAAAGCAAAAGATTTGTGCACTGGAAATCATGGTATTGGTTATCTTTTTTGTTGTTATGCCAAAAATACGAAAGCTTTGAATGAAATTCACATATGGCGTAGTTATATATTCATAAAATAGACTTTTAATTTTAAAAAGTTTTAATAAAACATAGACTTTGAGACATTTTACAAGTTACTAGTAATGAAAGCCAACTACATGTACAAGGATGGTATAAATACTGAAGGGAATACTATTATTTAGGTTGTTCATAATTGTGGAACTTAATCTAATACATTGCCCTTGACACCAGCATAGAGAGGATTATTAATGCTGATTCATTGAGGAGTGGGTGGTTAAACCATGTGGATTCAAAAGGAGTGATGATGATGATGATGTTGGTGAGAAAGATAAGAAATATTTCTGCCAACACATACAGGATCAATAGTGAATCAAACTGCATCATTGCTAATAGAAACCATATGGATTTACAACCTTTCCCATGAAGTGTTGTGATCTATAATCATTCATAGAGAAAATATTTGTTTATTCACTTTTGTTATGTAACACAAGTTTTTTTAATAGGATAAATACATTTTACTGTGAACATTGTAGTTCGTAAATTTCTTTTGGCCTACCTGATATTGTTAAAGTTATTGATTAAAGATATTCATGTTTGCAAGTTCTTATGAATAGATTAGGTAGGGTTTTACTCTCTGTTGATGTTAAGACTCATGTTGGTTATATTTTAAGTGCCCTTAGATGGAGTAGACTAATAGGCCTATGTGATTTGGAATGAAAAATACTTCTTATGACTTAATAAAAGGGTATTCTCAGTATTTGTCTTCAAAATATTGTTCAGGGAAAAAGAACATTTTATATCGATCATCAAACAGCTGGAATTAACTACCACGCAAATTAAAAATTAATTTTGAAGAGATCATTTTAAATAATGTTTTACGTCAATGAACCTTCTCTTTATTTTTATTTTATCTTATTTTATTAATTTTTTTGATTCATTGTTTATTTCACTGTATGTATATTTCTCGTCACTGTACCACTTTGAAAATCAGTACTATAATGAAAGTGCCTACGGTATAAAGATTAAATAGATAAGTAAATTTAAGCAAAACCGGAGGAATATAGGGCCCTGTTGATATTACAATTTACGGAAGCCATTTAGCTCTTTAGAAATTCCAACAGACCAGTGGTATGACTGCCCATGTACTACAATGTGTTAATAGAAATGAAACTTCCTGGGCTTGATGAAGTATAAAATATATTAACGTCATTATAGTGTACAGTCAATATTTTAATATTGTACTTAAAAACATTATCAGATGGGTGATATTCACATTGTAACTGTGATTGATGATAGCAGTGTTTAGGAATTTCATGTTATTTTCTTATGTCACTATCAACATAGGTGACTTGGTTGAAACATGTCTTAATTCTTAGTACATTTTCTTTCAAAGGCTAAATTTTTGCAGAGTTTTTTCTCAAATTAATTTACAGGTTGTTGCCTTGATTCTCGCTTAGTTTCACTGCCTCGCTAATTCAGTATAGTACAATTAGACTTTTGTTTACCAAGTCAATAATGTACTAATAATATACCCTGTTTACTGGCCTATCTGGTTATTCATGTATATTAAGGGAACAGAATGCTTCTCTGTTGATTTTCTGGAGAGAAAACATGTCTGACAAGTCTGAAGTACCTTGGGGTCATGGTGGGAGTCAAGTGGCAGCTCAAATTTAGTGAGAACTTTGGTCATTTACCTTAATTATTAGGATGAGGAATGCAAATATTTGTCTATGAAAAGCTAGTAAAAGTTCAAAAATCTAATCATGGCAAATACTGTTCATACAGTACATCATAATTTTAAAATTAAAGAAGACAAACATAATTGTGTAGACTTGTGTTCATACTCAACACATAAATATATCCCAAGACACTTTCCATTCAGTGACTAACTGGGAAAGACTCACTTTTGATTTGTTGTTAATAAAAATAAGATGTATTGCTAATCACAAGTGGCCATTATCGAGACAGTGATGTTTCATAATACAGTATTTATATTTTTGTCTTTTTAACTAATATAATTTTTAGTGGACTAGTGGTCCACTAGTGAGATCAGTGCTGCAAAAGTTTTATCACGTTAAATTCATATTAGCCAGCCTCGGATCAAGATAACTGATCTGGTATTGTCACATGCATTGCTAATGTTAGGCTAAGAGTTACTCCTTGATCAGGATAACAATAGGCCTAACCCTTGACCCTAGAATTGGAAAACAAGTACAGTTCTCCCACACAATTATAATTAATAATTCTATGAATATTTGAAAGAAGATGTGGTAAGGGATAAGTTTGGTATAAAAAAAAAATTATGAAAGAAGACAGAAAACCTAGAGCAGGAAATAAATACATCATACTAAAATCTTCAAAGGTTTTCCTAACATTATTTTCAAAATTAAAAACAATAATTTGGTGTTATTCTGTATTCCATAGAAATGATGTTCCAAGTTCAAAGTAATTTTATTGTCAATAGTTCAGCAAGTAAAATTGAAATTTGGTTTCCTCGGATACGGTACACAAAAAAACAGAAAAAAAAAATATCAACAGTTAGATTTAAAAAATTTCAGTTTAAAAAAATCATTATAACAATTTTCTTAACTAGATAAAAATATATACAGAATATTCCAAAGAAGTACAGAGAAAAAATAGCAGGTTGTTCAGACTAACATGGCTATACAACTACTTTCAATTGATGACATTAGCAGGTTAGATTTTTTTTTATTAAGCTTATCTTTGTCTGTAACACTTATTGAGCTTGTCAATCCTGCTATAGGATTGGTTAGGATGTGATGATTACCCTCATAGCTTATTCAAACCATGTCCAAATCAAATTGCTAATGTTCAGCTTTTCAGATAGTATTCTTCAAATATAACATGTCACAGTGCTGTCTAGAAATATTTTTTAGTGATACTTATTATTCGCTCTTTCAAATTACTTAATTACATTAATATAACAGGCACTAATAAGGCAGCCTCTGGGACTAACTTTCAAGATATAATTTATTTAACATGAGCTTCGCTGACTGTTGATGCCCTCTACATCTATCTGTTGTTGTGTCATCAGAGTACGATATTGTTGTTCAGACTAACATGGCTATACAACTACTGTACTTTCACTTGATGACATTAGCAGGTTAGATATTTTTTTTATTAAGCTTGTCTTATTCATTTAGTATTTTTATCTTAGTATGAATTCATAGGAGTTATGTGTTGAAGCTGAAAATAATATAATAATAATTATGGCATTTATAAAGCACATGAAAGGTCAGGAAAAATCACAAATCACAGGAATAAAATAGTCAATATTTTGAAAACATGTAGGTCTTATGTAATTTTTTGAAAGATGCAATTATTGAATCTGTATACAAAGTATTAATAAAAGAAAGGGATATTTATGTGGAAGTAAGTCTCTATGTGTAAATTGGTGTTGTGTTTTTAGTGATTTCCTTCTTCTCATGCCAAGTAAATAATTTGAAAGTAAATAATTTGATTGAATCTCATAGGAGGAGTTACAAATTATTTATTTAGGTCATTATATATTCTAACACACATACTGATTTTTTATGTGTGTTTCAGGAGCATAACCTTCAAATTTGCATTTAAATCTCAAAAAGTTATTGTAGACCACAATGTACAGTTGTCTACCATCTGTAAAAACAATTATCAATTTCTTCCCTAGTGGATGACACATTTATGATTGGTGTCAAAACATACTGTCATAACAATCTGGAAAAGATAAGTAAATAAAAAAAAATATAGTGTTTAGTGTGGTTATTGATGATAGGTACAGTACAGCACAGTATGTCTGATTACGACACTGTATGGTGTAGGCTATATTCCAATGGTAGTTGTGAAATGCTAGACCTACTGTACATTCTGTTTTTGCATGTTTAAGTTCAACTTTACTTATCAGTGGAGGCCCAGATCAATCATGGGACATACACATAGCACAATTTAATTAAATTTTTTATTGGCTCTCTCTTTCAAAGCATAGGAACACTCTCACGCAGGAGAGGTTCGACCATACAACAGAACAAATAACACAAGAATAGCAAAGATAACCCATATTATACCAAATGAAATGACAAAAGTTAAATAAAAACACTTTCTATAACACTTCCCATTACAATGTGTTACATAAACTAATTTAGTAATAATAAAAAAGTGTATATCAATGATTATGAATTATATTTAAGAATATAGCATATATGAAATTTAAGTACATTAAGTGTTGTTATGCAAAATATATTGCCGAAAAGGTCATATATCTTGTGGTTAATGATGTTATTGACTTAGAGTAGGAAATCTAGATTGCCGGGCAATGAACCCTTCAACCAAGCAATCTGCAAGTGTAACATTTTCGGATTGAAATAATTTCATTTCTCCAGTAAATGCTCAGATTTCATGGTTTCAAATATATTTCATTTTCATTTAATTTATTTTGTCTCATTAATGATTAAGCCTCTATACACACAAACCATACAGGTTTTGTAAACCAGCGAGTCAGGATTACCAAAAGTATTCTGAAATACAGACTGTCCAGCAGGCTCTCCAAACCGATTGAGAAACATAACATACAAGAAATATTAAAATATATCAAATATATTTGAACAGACCAATAAAAAAAAAAATAATCAATACAAATTCATGTTTGTATTTGCAACTTGAATAAAGTATCCTTGTACATGGCAGAAAGATCAATGGATAGATAAGTTTAAGATATCTGTAGATATTGGTGTTAGCTGAAACTCTTCTTGTCAGGCCAATTCTACATTTTTATTGAGATTAATACTTTATATAATTTTATGTAGTGTAAAGCCTTCATTCATGGTTACAGTATTTAGGGATCATAATAAAAACCGGCATATAAACGGAACAAAAAAAATGTACTTGAAACAATTTTATTGTGCTTAAAAAATATTCTACCATTACCGGTACTTTTAGTACTGCACAATAAAATTGAGGATAATATATCTTACCATTTAAAATATTACCAGAAAGCTTCAAAGTGCAACACTCTTGCTTGCTACACTTGAATTTATCTGATATTACAGCCGAAATATCAACAAATTGAGTTATACGATGAAATGTCTTGTTCTTTATGTTAATTATACCATTTGATACAATGGAGACATTTGAACCTAAATGGCTTGGATGTACAGTAACATGAAGTGTTCTTTAAATCAGCAATCTGATATGTCAGTTCAACTGGAGCATCTTTGTCCTAAGAAAGAAGCTCAGCTTGGTAATGAGGTGATGAGTTGTAGACTTTGTGACGTAGTAAAAGGTAGAATGACTTCACTTCACAATTCCTGGAACTATATTTATTACTGAATGTATTGAAGCTCTAGTGAATTATAATATAAAATATGTAATGAGTGCCTCCAAAAGATTTGTTAGTGCTAGTTTTCAGATTTATACGTTATACATTTCTACTGGATTGCGTAAGTAACAATGATAATATGAGTATATTTTACACTATAGTATATGCAATGAATAATGAATGACGACAAACAAAATACCAGATACACAATTACTATATACTGTAAATTTATTATTTGTAAGACGGGAAAAACTTGAAAGAATTTTTATGCCTGTTTTTTATAGTTGTGGATTAATGTGCAAATCTGTTTATAGCTATGGCGTACTAGGTCTGTGATTGGAAAAAATGTTTTTACCTTTTATTACTATTACTAATTTTCGGGCATGGGCGGATGGATACACGCACACATGGACTGACGGATAGGCTCATGGATACATGGATGTATGTATGTATGCATGCATGCATACATGTGTCCCCTATTAAGGGGACATGTTCAGGACCAAAAAAGTGTCCCCTTGATAGGGGTGTCCCTGAATAGGAGTATCCCTATTCAGGGGACATTAACCAAAAATGTGAAATTTGTCCCCTTAATAGGAGGTTTTTGGCATGTTTTCATATAATGATGAAATAGATTCTTTGTAATTTTATTTTAATTGACCTAAGAATAAGTTACAGTTTAATTATAACTGACTTATAACAATAATTTGTAAAAATTTGTGTATGTTCCCTATATTGTTTTTTTATTCGAGTATAATGTTAATGACCAAATATTCTTTTTTAAAATATTGAGCTTTCTATTGGATGCACAAGATAGAATACTATTAATAGATGTTATCAACATAGAAATCAGGGTGCAGGCTGTCCGGATAGATTAGAATCCTATATCAAAATACATAAAACAAGAAATCTCCATGGTTAATGGTCAAAATTGACAAGATTTTATTTTGAATGAACACATGCATTAGGCATCCAATGCCTATTCTAAGGATGGAAAAAATTCTGGTTTGGTGTTAAGTTTATTGCTCAAAAGGTGTCAAAATATAGATTTGAATGATTTTTTTTTCTTATTTTGTGACTACTGTAGTTAGTTGGATACAATAAAAAAAGTGTCCCCTTAATAGGGGTGAAATTGTATTGATTTTACCATTTTGCACACTTAAAATGTGTCCCGTCTCCTTAATATGGATGTCCCCTTAATAGTGGTTGGCTGTTAAAAGAAAAATTTACTATCGTTTCACTTAAAAGTGTCCCCTTAATAGGGGTTTCCTCTGAATATGGGTGTCCCAAAGGAGGGGTTCCACTGTGTGTTCGTTTCTTTGATGGTCATGGACAGTTCAAATGTGATGAAATCTTATAATATGGTGAGAAGCATATGGTGAGAAGCATAGGGTATATTAAAATCAGTATAAGTAAAACAAAACACTTTTGAGACAATAGTAAAATATCTATTTAAAACAGACTCCATTTATACTCCTTTAGGTGAAAAAGTGTACTGTGTACGAAAACATGTGGTTAAATAAATATTCAAATCTCAATGTGCTGCTTATGTTTTCCTAATGAAATATGTTGTTAACCAGTTTCATACCCGAATGCATAGTTTGTTTTTTAACACAGTAAACTCAAAAGAGCCACGTCATTCTACTACAGATATACAGGATCAGTAATAGCACCTTCAGAAACTTTATGCGGGGAAGTGTACCAGGTATCCACTTGAACTCTTTGTTTTAGGCGTGCATTGAAAAGGTTGGTCGCTAAATAAAGTTTTACCTTTATACTAACAACAGCTTTTATATGACAAATAGACTAACCTTAATCAGTTCATTTTTTTCCTTTTTAATAGAACCATAATTTATATAGCACCTTTCACAATCGGCAGATTTTACAAGCGATTATACAAGCCACTGGCATCATTATTTTCCTGGTCACTGGATACTGAATTGGCAGATCTGCACATTGTGCACCTTTCTCTGCTCCCTGGGGATTATAATAATAATAATAATAGGCACTTTTAGATTTTCATGTCAACATAGTCGACGTCTTGACATGATGTCACTTTCAAGCACTGCGCTTGCGCGATCTTCAACCCCTCGCTCACCACCAGATTTGAGAACGCGTTCATCCTGGTTTTCACCGTCAACCCAAGTCTACTCGCATTGTTGACGGTATGACGTCATTTTTTAAAGATGGGCGATACCGGACCCGCTGAAATGATCTTACTAGGCCTAAGCAGAGGCCTAATTCTATGCAATTTTCAAGTAATTTCATCTCTGACATTGAACAAGTTTACAGTTTACAGGTCGATTTGCATTGTACAAAAGCACAAACTTTTCATCGTCTAGCACATTGCTGAAATATCCGAATAGGATCGCTTCTTTATAAAGATTCGCCATGACGGTAAGGCTTGATCCTTGCTCAAAAAGTCATCATGTTGACTCCTTTTCGATCGAAATTGGAACTGATTTCAGCAGTGGATCACCATGAGGAGTGAACACGTTGACGGTTGCCTGCATTCGACGTGAACATGCTCGTCGTTCACTCAATCGAAAGGTCCCTAATAATGATAATATACTTTATCTTTACACGGATACACTTGATTCACTCAAGAGTGTTTTTCGTCAAGGCCGCCTAAGACCATATTATGTGTTATATGTTGTTTGTTATGTGTAAAGTAACAAAATATAAGCAAAATATATAAGTAAAAGAACAAAAAGAAAACTACATTTAAACAAAGGTTTAGCAAATAGCAAAAAGGGGTGGTGGGAATAATAATCATGATTTAAATGCTATTATGTTTAGTTAAGGTTTTTCGGGGATAACGACAAAATTAAAGGTAAACAATTAAGAAAGTAAACTTTTAAAAAGATGTATGTTAGAATATTATTATCCCTGGTCATTGCTGCTTGAACGTGCACGACCCATACATTCAATGCCATACCATCCTACCAGGTACCCATTTATACTCCTGGGTGGAGAGAGGCAAATGTATGTAAAGTGCCTTGCCCAAGGGCACAAGCAATGCGAGGAACGTAGTCTCAAACTCCGATCTCACAATCAGAAGACCAACACCTTATTCGCTACACCACACGCGCCTATATTATACGCCAATATAAAATCTTGAAAATTAATATTTTTCAATGAAATACAGATAAATACAAAGTTTTGACTGATGTACTGATGACATTTAATTGATTGGTTTTTAATACAGTAATACTGGAACTATACTATTTATACATTTATTAATTTTACAAGAATTTTTTTTTTTCTCATTCTAATTTTTCAGTAGACCTTTCTGCTAATCATCACCCACCTGTCCTCACCCATGATAGTTTTGCTAAAGTCCTACAAAACAACAGCATAAATGTATGTAAATACATGTGTTTTAGGACAAACTTTAATTTGTTCCCTAGAAAGTATGCATACTCAATTCAAAGAAATACATGCCAACTCTTTTATTGGGTTGTCTTCAGGAATAACAGTCCATATTCACAATACAACATCCTGTTAATTTTAGGAAGTTGTAATTTAATTGACTTTCAATTTTGTATATTGTTATTGTTTTTTTTTAAACTAGAAAAATAGTTTTTACTAGCCATTTTAAGTTCATGTCTGAAGTCTGAAGAAATTCAAATATTCTTATGGGAATTAATTAGGTAAAAAATAGGCAAAAGTGACATCCTTACATTAATGGTTTTTTTACTCACCTAAGTTGATATTTATTTTAATGGATAATTATTATACGCCAATAAGAAACTTTTGAAAATTAATAATGATAATATAATAATAATAATTATAT